AACTGTTTCAAAATATGAATGAAAAGCTAAAAGGTGTATTTGGTTGTGTTAAGGAAGTATTGTACAAAGTAAAAATCATGTGATTTAGTGGTCATTAAAATTGTTCAGAGTTTGCAAATGTACGATGAGTCATGCTTCTCCCGGCATAAACTGTCTAAATAAGTTAAATGTATCGATATCAGTATTGGTATCGGCCAGACTGGTCCTGTATTTGGTATCGATCCAATAGAAAGTAAAATAAATTTGCAGTACGGCACAGACTGCCCCTCCACAGGAAGGAGGTGCCGGAGCGGGGGCTGGTGCGCTGCATTGACCCATGAGCCAATCAGCCGGTTGGGTTAAAAGCCTGCTGACTCCCTCAGGGAGCTGCATCACATGGGCACAGCTAATGATTTACAACTGAGTGGCTGATGATCGGTCACAACACTGCAGCCCACAGGGAAGCTGTGCTGCTGCTCCTGCTACATGAAGCCGGTGTCCCGCGTGCGCTCTTGATTTGGGCGTGCCGCGCGCGGGGAGGGAGTACAGTCCGGGCCGCAAACACGTTGTCACTTCACCGTGAATTTCTCGTCCTACAATGTTACAAAGAGTCTTAGTTTTACTGCGCGGATGAGCTGTGTGGGTGAAACACTGGACGCTATGGCGTCTCTGGGAGTAGAAGAGGAGTGTGATGACGGCCGGACGCCGGTGAGTTTGTCTCGGTGCTTTAACGAGTGCAGCCTGCGGTAATGTCGCACTTTTTTAGCGCCAGATTAACTTAACAGGTGAGCGGAATCCCCCATACAGCGCTCACAGGTGTGCTCGGTTTCACGGGGGATTTACAGAAGTTGCGCTGCTTTCTAAACACATGCGCAGTCTGTTCGCTTCATTATCAAGCGCAAAAAAAATAAGATGTGCTGCTTTTTGTTTTTGTTTTCGTTTTGCGGCGTTAAACATCGGCGCAGGAAAGTGCGTGTCAAGCATGTTAATAAATCACTTTTTTTTCGCCTTGAGAACTCCAAGAACACATCAGCAGCAGGGTCAGCCGCAAAAACCCGAGTTCAGCTTGTCACAGCGCTCTTAGTAAACACCGACAGTAGCAACTAATTAGTAAAGCTGGTTATTAGCGGTTAAATGAGGCTTAGGTTAGCGCGTTATTGCTCAGGAGGGTTCGTCTGTAAAATGAGATAATAGGATGACTTAAAGATTTGATTAATTCTGGATATTTGATCAGTTCCTTATCCTCAGTTACCAGGTAACCAGACCACTTTAAACACCTGCATTTAGACACACCCACACTTTATCTGCAGTTCAGTTGCAGTGAAAAGGTCATTTCTGTATGAAGGTGTTTTATATCTGGTTATCAGATACCTACAGTTTTCTGCGCGTTGCTTCTACCACCTGTACAAGCAAGCGGTGGTAAGCTTTTTGAGTCCCAATTACTTTTTTTGTGGTGGGTTTGAAAGAAGCTGAAGGAAACCAGCAAAGCTGTGGCAGCTTCCACATGGGAGGCGTATCTGAATATCCAGCATTGCAATCACAGCAGCCCTTATTTAATTATCAGAGTGCCTGAAAGAAGATTGCAATTAAAGAACAGCACTGTGGTCGTAGTAAAGTGACTAATTTACAAATTAAAATTAGGTAATATAAGAAATCACATTTTTATTGCATTATATTCTGAGATTTACCAGCAGATTCATAAACTAACATCCCTGTAATGCTTAATTAATACCATATATTTGCTCCCAAGCTGAGGATTGCCAAGTACTAATAACCTGATCTGATATTAAAAACGGACACAAAGGCAAAGCTAATGTTCTTTTTGTTAGTATAATGTAATCGACAGAATAACTGCAAGAAAAATAATAATTTTGAAAGCTTCATAAAGTTTTATCTAAGCTCAATGTCTCTCTGCTGCCCCCTGATGCATGCATGTGTAGGTGCTCCAAGCCCAGCTGGACACCCTGCTGCAGGGCCAAGAGGGCATCACCAGTAGCTGCAACTTCACGGAGCAGGCCTTGAGCCAGGGCACCGAGGCCGAGGTGCTGCTGGTGAAGAAGCAGATGGGCGAGCGTCTCGTCGAGCTGGCCAACCAGGAGCTTCCGCTGCAGCCCGGAGAGAACAACCAGCTGGACTTCCTCGTGGAAACGGAAGGACTAAAAAAGTCCATCCACAACCTGGGCACTATTGTGACCACCAACGCCGTGGCCTCCGAGACTGTGGCGACAGGCGAGGGGCTGCGGCATTGTGTGGTAGGCGTGCCCACCTCCATCACCATCACTACTAAGGACAAAGATGGAGATCTGTGCAAGATGGGCAACGCAGTCATCGCCGCTGAAATGTTTTCGCCTGACGGCGGCAAGTGTGACGGAGACGTGCTCGACAACAAGAACGGCACTTATGAGTACTTGTTCACAGCTCCTAAAGAGGGCACGTGCACTTTATCTCTGCGCTTATATGACCAACACATCAAAGGGAGCCCCTTTAAGATAAAGGCCACCAAATCCATTGACGTGTCACCGACTTCAGACGGCGTTAAGAAGAGGCTCAAGTCTCCGGGCAGCGGACACGTCAAGCAGAAGGCCATCAAGAGGCCGGCCAGTATGTACAGCACAGGGAGGAGGAAAGAGAATCCCATTGAGGACGACCTTATCTTCAGAATCGGTAAGACCGGCTCCCAGCCGGAGGGCTGTACATCAAACCTTAGCACTTTCTTTAAACCACAAAGGAGGATGTAAAGTGTAGTCTGCACTGTGAGGAGCTATCAGTGGGGAAAAAAAGTTTATTCAAAATACATAAACAACACAAGCTGCTGGCTATAAATTGCTAATGCTACCCAGTCGTGTTCAAAGTGTTAAGGCGAATGTGTGACCCACCTGCCACTGAGACACAAAGTTCAATACAGGAGAGGTAAATTTAGGTCAGAGTAATGACCAATATCCCAAACTAAGCCCTCCCATTACCATTATCCTCTTTTATTATTGTGGCCCACCTGCAGTATCTTCACGGCCTGTCGGGGGCCGTGACCCACAATTTGGGAATCAGTGCACTAGGGAAAATTCAGTTAAATAGCTGATTAACAAGTATTCACAAGCAATTTAAAAAGTGACAAAAGCTCAATAATAATAATATGATTAATTCGGCTTCTTGAACATGAGGATTTTGAGTCTTGTGTTCATATGATTTTAACCCTGACATGTCACATGCTTCAGTTTTTGTGACGTCTACATCATCAGTGTGATCGTTTTTGTCGTTTTCTCCACAAAAACCCAGATTTAGCAAGAAATAATAACTAATACTTGTATTAAATATTATTTTAATACAAAAAATGGTAGAAGGTTCAATAAACAGCTGTCCATTTGCAATTGTTACTTTTTCTACCCAAAAACAGACCAAAAAAACAATGTAAGTAAGATAATACTAGTAAATATGGTTTGGAGACGTCTGTTTCACGGTTATGTGAAGTATAAATGTTTACACAACAGAGAGCTTATTACTGCTGGAGTGAAAATTGAGCATCAGGTTACCTTTACTATGTAACCAATAGACTTTACATGTAGAAAACGTACGTGTCATCATCATCATGGTGAACGTGGTCATGTTTCGTGTCTCACAGGCACAAAGGGAAGAAACAAAGGGGAGTTCACGAACCTGCAGGGAGTGGCTGCCTCCTCTCAGGGGAAGGTGCTGATAGCAGACAGCAACAACCAGTGTGTGCAGGTGAGAACGCATTCCCTGAAGCATCTGCGCCTGTTCTCTGAGATGATACATGAAAACTATCTAATATTTAACATAGTGTTTTATTTTATTTTTTTAACCAAATCCAGATTTTCTCCAACGACGGCCAGTTCAGAAGTCGTTTCGGCATCCGGGGCAGGAC